TAATTTTATCCCTTTGCATAAAAAGGGTGTATATATACAGTCTATAAAGTGTGTATATATACAGTACAAAAAGTGTATATATAAAGTATATATATATACAGACACAGAGGATCAAGCTAGAATTTTACTACCACTTGTATACTGTATAAAGTATATAAAGTATGTGTGTGTGTGTACATATGTAAATACGTGTACGAGTATATAAATACACACATCCCTTAATATCTAAACTAGAATTTTATCGAATCAGGGATAAAACTCTCACTTCCATTCACAGCATAACTCATGGCAAATCTCAAAAATGATTTGACATTTGACTTCTCTATAGATGGAAAATAACATCTTCCAATAGGAAAGAGAAAAGTTGTCTAAACAGCAGGATGGGAAAAAAGTCAAAAAAATTCACTTCACTCTTTTCTCTCCTGTTCGAGATAGGATCATGGGCAAGATTCTTTGTTGAGGATAAGAAATTTAACATTTTACGAAAACATGAACTGATACACATGTTAAAAGCTTAATGGTGAATTCCTGTGCAGTGGGTCCCGTTCACAGAGACCACGTGTTTATTTCTTCTCCCGTCTCACATTTCGCTGATAAGAAAGTTTCTGTACGTGTGATAAAAAGGAAGGAGGGTGCAGTCCACGCCTGACCCCTTGGGATGGGCGGTCCCCGGTGTCTCCCTTAAGCATGGAGCAGGCAGCCCTGAAGGCACAGGCTTAGTTGGAAGGTCGTGTGGTATCATCTCTAAGATCTCCCAGGCTGGACGTGACCTTGGTTTGAATCTGAGCCCTGTAGTTTATTTACTGGCCAGGTCACCCTGACCCAGTTACACCATTTGGAGAACCCTCCTTTTGGTGTTCATAAAATACCGAATAAAATTGTCAAGACGAACCCAGGAGGCAAACTCACAAATCGCCATGTGTCCAATTTTATGTTGAGAGGCTGAGTAGCCTTTATGTTTGGTCTTTGGTGCGGAGCAGTGTACACATCAGCCTTCGCGCTGGGTTTGTTGCTGCCACAAAGGAAAGCGAATAAAACACAAACCGCTTGCTTCCCTGGTTTCCCCAGGAGCTCACGCTCTGAGGACGATCACTCGAAACACAGCAGAGACTTCTTCCTGTTTGTGTCTGTACTAAGGGACGTAGAGATTCTTTGAGGCACGATTCTTTCCTGCCCTGTCAAAACCCCACCCGCTGACCACGCGTGTTTTTTTTTGAAGAACGGCGCCAGTGACGTGAAGCGACACCGTTGGTTCCGATCCGTGGAGTGGGACACCGTCCCGCAGAGAAAGCTGAAGGTATGGCTTGCTCTTGTTAACGGGGACAGGCTGTGATTCCGTGACCCGCTTATCTGTGTCTGGCTTGTGATTAATTTGTACGACGCGACCAGTCGTCTCCAGTCGTTCGTAAGCCATACTCCTTCCTTGGCGGATGTCTTAGCGCTACACATGTCCCTGTCTGCCTCGGTGAGTGTCTCAGACCCTCTGAGAGTTTTGCTCAAACTGCCTATTTTTTTAACCCGGCCCTTTCTACTGGTATGTGGTATTTGTGCAAATTTATGGGGTGCAGGTGATATCTTGACACAGGCATACAGTGTGTAAGGATCCGGTGAGGCTGTTTGGGACATGCAACACCTCAAACATTTATCCTTTCTTTGCACTGGGAGCATTTCCAATCTTCTCTCCTAGCTATTTCGAAATATATAATAAGATCGCTGTTAACTGTACCCCCCGCCACGGTGCTGTCAGACACTAGAACTTCTTCCTTCTCTCTCGCCACATGTTGCACCTGTTCACCGGCCTCTGTCATCTCCCTGCACCTCACCCCAGCCTCTGGAAACCATCCCTCTACTCTCAGCCTCCATGAAATCCATTGTTTTAACTCCCACATACGAATGAGAACCTGTGATCTTTGTCTGTCTGTGCCTGGTGTATTTCACTTACCATAACGACCTCCACTTCTATCCGTGTTGCTGCAAATGGCAGGATTTTACCCTTTTTCGTGGCTGAATGCTATTCCATCGCGGATCTACAGCACATCTTCTTTATTTGTCCACGGATGGACACGTAGGTGGATTCCATATTGTGGCCGTTGTGAATAGCACTGAACCGCATGCATCTTTGACAGGAGTGTTCCAAAGCAGCGTTCACAACTTAGCACTTCAAAGTCGATGGGGAAAGACCTTAGGTGGGCTCATGTCCGTGCCTGACCCCGTAGCAAGCAGTCAGAGTCCCTGGGGTTACAGCTTAGAGGAGAGCTGTGATTTTGTTCCAGGTTTTAACTTTTCAGTGTTTTGTCACATTAAATTGCATTTTTAAAAACCAAAACAATTTGAACAGGTTCGATATGCACATCGGTCAAAAACCAAGTCAATATTAAAAGGTATGCGTTGCCAATTCTGGGTCTTATCCACTCCAAGCCACCTGTAGGTAATCACTTTTTTTTTTTTTTTGAGACAGAGTCTCACTGTGTTGCCCGGGCTAGAGTGTCGTGGCGTCATCCTCGCTCACAGCAACCTCAAACTCCTGGGCTCAAGCGATCCTCCTGCCTCAGCCTCCCGAGTAGCTGGGACTACAGGCATGCGCCACTGTGCCCGGCTAATTTTTTCTATATATTTTTAGTTGTCCAATTAATTTCTTTCTAATTTTAGTAGAGACGGGGTCTTGCTCTTGCTCAGGCTGGTTTCGAACTCCTGAGCTCAAACAATCCGCCCGCCCTGGCCTCCCAGAGAGCCAGGATTACAGGCGTGAGCCACCGCGCCCGGCCGGTGATCACTTTTTATTAGACTTTTCTGGTGTCCTTCCAGAGTTTATTGATGCTAATAAAACCCCTTATGGAGAGACGTATTTTTATTTTCTCCATGCACTTACACAGAACCTAGACCACTACGTACAATATTCTGTTCTTTCTCTCTCTTTGTTTTGTTTTGTTTTTCCTGTTTTTGGGTTTTTTTTTTGAGACAGAGTCTTACTCTGTCGCCCAGGCTAGAGTACAGTGGTGTCATCACAGCTCACAGCAACCTGCAACTCCTGGGCTCAAGCCATCCTCCTGCCTCAGCCTCCCGAGTAGCTGGGACTACAGGTGCAAGCCACCATGACTGGCTAATTTTTCCATTTTTAGTAGCGACGGTGTCATCACAGCTCACAGCAACCTGCAACTCCTGGGCTCAAGCCATCCTCCTGCCTCAGCCTCCCGAGTAGCTGGGACTACAGGTGCAAGCCACCATGACTGGCTAATTTTTCCATTTTTAGTAGCGACAGGGTCTCACTTGTGCTCAGGCTGGTCTGGAACTCCTGGTCTCAAGCAATCCTCCCCCCTCGGCCTCCCAGAGTGCTGAGATTACGTTTTGTGGTGGCAGTTGTGTTGTGTGAGTTCGAGGCACGCACTTTACCGCCAAGGCTTCATAGCGCGTTGTGTCTGACTCACCCCAGAGTGGGGCCCCCTCCTCCTGCAGGTCTTTGATGATTCTGAGACTGTCAGATGCGTTTCCCTCCTGAGCCGGCATCGCGGTGGGCTCTGTGATGCACATTTTCTGCTTGAGCACAGAACACAGCTGTGAGAAGAGGGTTTTCTTTTTTAAACACGAATCATTTCTGCCTTAAACTGGACTCATTTTTACATCCACACGGAAAGTGAAAACGCCCCCGTTCAAGTCCACTTACGTGCCTCTCCCCCATCAGGAATTTTCAGTTGAAGGTGCTTCGCTGTGTTCCAGCAGGAAGCACAGGGTTCGGGGCCGGGAACAGTGACAGGTCTGTGTCCTGGATGTGACTTGAGGACCCTAATGTCACCATGTCTCAAGTTTCTTGTGCTGAAATAAACAGCACTGAGAAGAGCCATGGTACTGAGCCCACACGAGAGGTTCTCCCTACAGCGTACTGGTTTCACGGGATTATGCAAAACTCGTTGGCATCTGTGCGTATCATGGAAGAGCTGGACGTGGCTTCAGCCAGAATCTATCCAGGAGTCAACAAACTACAGCCTGTGGGCCCAATCTGGCCCATTGTCTGTTTTTGTAAATAAAGTTTTATTGGCACATGGCCACGCCCACTAATTTACATATCAGTGACCACTTTCATGCTCCGATGGCAGACTTGAGCGGTTGCCACAGAAGATGCATGGGCTGCAAGACTGAAAATGTTTAATAATTGGTCCTTTATGGGGGAAAAAAAGCGCTGACCCCCTTCCCAATCCCAGTGGCCTCTTTTTATTGGTGCAGGACCGAGGCTTGGCATTGGTGATTCCGACACCTCAGTCTGGTACACTTTTCTATCTTACTAGAATTTTCCAAAGCCCGGTCACTGGATGAGGTTCATCAGAATCTCCCAGACCCAGCAAGTCCTGGGCGTCTGCACTTTCCTAAGCAATCCGGGTAGTTCTTATTCTAGAACGTAAGATGCAAAAGCGCTGGGTAACCCACCATCCTTCCTCCCTTAATCCCTCAAACTTCACGATCATCTGTCAGACCGACGGTTGGTAACCTCGCTCATTCAGTGTTAGAGTTCCGAGTTTTCTATGTTCATAACAAAAGGAGACAGCTCTAGGCTTTTGCAAATCATTTCCACTTTTATGCAAAGCAACGGAAGTACAGTGTAACAGACACCACGTCCAGGTGCCCTTTTGACCATAGCTCTATGTTTCTGCCGGTCCCTGCAGCCTCCCATAGTGCCCAAGATATCCGGTGACGGCGATACCTCGAACTTCGAAACTTACCCCGAGAACGACTGGGACGCGGCCCCTCCCGTGCCGGAGAAAGACTTAGAAATCTTCAAGAATTTCTGACGACAGGAACTCTCATCTGCAAGGTACGTCTTTATGTTTAGTAATCACCAAAAAAATGAGGTTGACTCCACCCCACGTACAGGCAATGCTGAGTTTCCCGGGTGGGGCTGATAACCTCATCTATTTGACATCAACACTTTGGAGGGCCAAGGTGGGAGGATCCCTTGAGCCCGGGAATTTGAGTTTAAGTGAGTTGTGATGACACCACTGCACTCTAGCCTGAGCAACAGAAAGTTTAAAAAAAAAAAAAAAAGTATTTCTATATTCCTTTTTGTTAAAAATAAATTTAAATAAACACAGCAGAGTATACCTCATATGAAATTTGCTAAGCTTA